AGAATTCCCCAGACATTATGTGAGGACTTCAATTCCAAGAATTCCCCAGACATTATGTGAGGTCTTCAATTCCAAGAATTCCCCAGACATTATGTGAGGACTTCAATTCCAAGAATTCCCCAGACATTATGTGAGGACTTCAATTCCAAGAATTCCCTAGACATTATGTGAGGACTTCAACTCCCAGAATTCCCCAGACATTATGTGAGGACTTCAACTCCCAAAATTCCCCAGACATTATGTGAGGACTTCAACTCCCAGAATTCCCCAGACATTATGTGAGGACTTCAACTCCCAAAATTCCCCAGACATTATGTGGGGACTTCAACTCCCAAGACATTATGTGTGGACTTCAACTCCCAGAATTCCCTTGCCCTCCTGCTGGCTGGGGAATTCTGGGAGTTGAAGTCCACACATCTTAAAGTGACCAAGGCTGAGAAACACCAGATTAGAGAGTCATAATATGAATTCTATTTCATTTTAATTCTGTGAAAATGTAACAGCAGCGTTTGGCTGACCCAGTCTGGGCTTGGAAGCTAAACAGGTTTGGGCCCGATTAATATTTGGATGTGAAACCACCCAGAAATGCCAATTCTTGGAATAAAATGGGCAGTCGTTCAGCCGCAGCCTCAGAAGAAGGCGACAGCAAGCCATTTTTCATGCTACGGCCAGCAAAAACAGCCTGGCTGTGTCCACGTGGCCAGCAGAATTTTGAGTTCACTTTCTATGAACTGAAATTAGCCATAGATAATTTAGACTTCACAGTACTTTACAGCCCTCTCTAAGCGATAGGACAGAGTCAGCATATTGTCCCCCAACAATCGGGGTCCTCATTTCACTCACCTCCGAAGGATGGAAGGCTGAGTCAACCTTGAGTCAGTCAGGATCGAATTGCTGGCAGCGGGCAGAGTTTGCCTGCAATGCTGCATTCTAACCACTGTGTGTCGCCAGGCTTTCTGTTCCCATTTTGGGGAATACTGTTGCAAGCATGTTACTCTGAAGGTAATTCTGCTCCCGCTTAAGCTTCTGGCTTTGACATGGAGATGCTGAGAATCCAGGGGCTCCTCCTTGGCACAGAACTAGTTGGAGTAGACTAGTTGGACTAAACTACTCCTAGGAGTGACTACAAGGGAGGGCTAAACACTTGTAGCTACTCCTAGTTTACTCTCAAGAGGTAACCAATGCTAAAATGATGATCAAGAACTTAATGTAAACCCAGTGTGGACGATGTGTGGCATTTTAAAAAAAAAATTGTCACAACATTTGACCAAAAGACGAAACATTTTTTGGCTGCGGCCCCTCGTCAAGCCCTCTCACTTTCTTTCTTCTTCTTCTTCTTCTTCTTCTTCTTCTTCTTCTTCTTCTTCTTCTTCTTCTTCTTCTTCTTCTTCTTCTTCTTCTTCTTCTTCTTCTTCTTCTTCTTCTTCTTCTTCTTCTTCTTCTTCTTCTTCTTCTTCTTCTTCTTCTTCTTCTTCTTCTTCTTCTTCTTCTTCTTCTTCTTCTTCTTCTTCTTCTC